AAAATAATATTAAAATTATAAAAAGCAATGCTACATGCTCTTCTGGGATATTATATTCCATTTTGGTCACATTCTCAAAACAATACTGTAAAAATTAGGGATTGAGTGATGGGTGACGATTTTAAGGCTATGAAAAGCTTTCTATGTGAGGAAATACTGGTAAGATTGCAACAGTTGTTTAGAAGAGATGAAGAAGAGGGGAATATATCAATATGTATATCAATATACAAAACAATGACTGGCAGAGAAAAAGGTAAACCAGGTGCTCCTTTTTATCCTTGTAAGACAATAGAAAGGCAGCAAATTTAAAAAATAAAAATATTATACACACAGCATGGTTAATATGGAATGCTTTGCCAGTAGATGTCATTCAGGTCAACAGCTTAGTGGATTTGAGAGGATTAGACATTTGTATTGGTATAAGATAAACTATTATATTAGGTAAAATTAGAAGTGATAAACCTTCATGCTTCAGGGAATGAACAAAACTATGACAGGAAGAAATCCCCTCAGTGGCATATTCTACAATTGCCCATTTTGGGGCTTCACACATTTCCTCTGAAGCAGCTGATATGAGGCACTATCAGATACAGTATTACTGAACTATATACACACCCCTGACCTGATGCATTGGTCCTAGAGGGAAAACTGGGTGGACTTTCAGGATGTTGTACTATCCTGTACAGAGACATTTGGATGTGATCTCAGAACGTCATCTAATTTTGCATTACATCCTGTGACTCGTTCCATGCCTCAAGATTTTTTGGAAGCACATTTTGTGAAAACACACTCATGGGAAGATATTGACACATGGTACCTGTAGCCACTGGAGACATTTTCCTGTGAAAGATCACTAATATGATTAAGTTTTGAATCTTTGCTATAGTGTAAAGTTATGTCCCCAGGTATGCTTATTTTGATACTTGGATGAGCAATGCTCTCTGTTCATGGGCTCAAAAAGTTCTTGATTCATTTGAGTCATTTCCAGCACTTGGCAAGGTATGAGTGAGTCTGTTTCTCTAGGCAGGACACTGATTAGAATGTTGTTCATGGATTGACATAAATGTGTATCTTGTGACCTGAACTTGTTGCAACTACTTCCATGTCTTCCTTGAGACTCTGGGTGCAGAAGGTAGATCAATGGAACAGATCTTGTACAGGCACTGTAAGCTTTCACACATAAATGCTCATGTTGTCTTTAGAGACACAAGGTGGGGAGGCCATAGCTTTAGGACAACTTCTGTTTTTGAGAGAGAAGCGTTTGAGCCACACAGCGTTCGTCTTCAGGTCTGGGAAAGGTACTCCAAGCATCACAGCTAAATGCAAGGTGGAACAGATTGTTTAGCATAAGTAGTTAGTTCATAGTGTAAGGGACCATTCATGGTAGAGTGGCCCGTTAACACCTCTGGAGTCAGAGGAGAAAAAGAGAAGGTCAGTGGGTTACGAATTGTTGTAATAAGCCATAAATACAGTATCTCTGTTCAGTCCATTATTTTTAGTATCTACGAGTTGTGAATTTAAGCTCCCAGGCTCATCTTTTGAAAGTGTTGTGCAGGTTTCCTTTAAGGATGAGGGATGACAGGTCAGATATAAGTGTTCACCCACAGGGTGTTTTTGTCTTTTAGAACAATCTACTAGAGAAGCAGATCACATCATGGAACAGGCCACCTAAATACTGAGAGAATTTGCTTCAATACAGAAATAGAACCCCCTCCAATCGCATAACCCTAGTGATCACCTACCATGCCACGCTGGAACTCATACAGGGTATTATCAAAAAGCTACAACCCCTACTCAATATGGACCCAATCCTGAAATAAACCTTTCCTGAACCTATTCTTCTGGTTTTCAAACAACCCTCCAAATCTTCAACATCATCAGAAGCAAACTCCCACAGACCAGGACACACCAACTCAAAGTGGTGCCCGGGAGCTTAAATTCATAACCTCTTTACATCAGAGCAGCCCCCACAAATATACCTTTTCTCCTTTGCCTTCCCATTCTGATGGTATGAACCTGATTTTTATACTACTTGTTCCTTAAAAATAATGAATTATTTTTTTTCTGAAGGGGGGGGGAGACTTGCTTTATCTTTTTAGGACCCAGAGTCTCTGAAATTTGCAAGCCACACCCCTTACAGCTTGTTAAGGCATTCCTTTCTCCTTTGGAATTCTCATGCTCCTGCTTGAACCTTCTAATGGTGGAGTGGTAGCTTCATGTGGGGGGGAGGGGAGTCCCCAACATGCTGGTCCAACTCAGAACCCCATAATCAGGCAATGCTAGAATCAGTGCGCAGCACAACTACACCTCAGACTCTGGGAAGCTGAATTTTATAAATACTGCACCTCTTAGATGTAGCTTGCTGTTTTGCAGTGCTTCTCTGATACCACAGCAGAGGCAGAGGGAGCCTGCTAGAGAGATATGGCATCGCAGGGTTAAAGTCTCAGTGCTCTGGGGATTCCTCAGTGAGAGAGAAAGGAGCAAAAAGCTGAAATGAAGTGTCTACTTTTTATTAATTTTCATGAAGTGAAGTTATAAACAAAGTGGTGGGGAGAAACTGAACTGCCAAGTTATTCTGCTGACAGAGGCAGAATTTCTGGTGACCTGAGGTGAAGGGTATAGCTTGGTCCTACTACAGTGCCCATCAACAAAACTGGAGAGCTTCCAAGTTCCAAAAGTGAAACGCATTACCCGTTATATGAAAAGAGAAGCTGGGTGCTAGAAAAAACAGAAAAATCAGGGAAATGAAAAAAAATTAATGACAAGTGCTGGTAGAGTGGTCCCTCTTTCAACAATTGAGTAAGACCAGGAAGTTTTAATTCATTAACATTTCACTTCTGAAACAAAGCTTTTATTTAAAACCATCTTCCCTACATCAAGAAAATAAAAAACCCACATCTGATAGAACTCTTGGTTTTATTGAAGGTCCTACTGTTCATTTTACTCAACCATATACAAGCAGTTACTGGTATAAACACACACAAAAATGGAAAACAGGCTTTTGTTTTAGTATACCCCTCCTTCAACAAAAAGTTCAACCCCACTTTATAGCATTGCACTCAGAGTACAAAATGAAACTGACTAAACATAAGTCCAGCTTTCAGCATCTTGAGTGAAATACAAAAAGTCAAACAGCAAAATTAAGCTAACTTATTTTTTCAAGTATAGTAACATTCTATAAAAACATAAAACAAGAGTAGGTATTTAACACCCTTTTAAACTTACTTTCTTGAAAACAAATGAGTATTACTACTGTAACTTAAGGAAAATACTCCCATTTGGCCAACAGTTTTGCAACTGATGCTTTATGAATTTGCTTAATAGACTCATAATGGAACACAACATTTCTCACCCTTTTGTCACTATTCTGACTATACCCCACAATGGTAACACTGACCTAAAGTCACTGACATCTGTTAGTAGCCTACACAAATGAGTTGGAGGAATCATGCTAATTACTAGTAGAGAGGCCTATGTCAAAATACCGCACTACCATTTGCAACCCTGAAATTTCTATAGAGGCCAACAATGGAAAGATGATAAAAATACTGTAACTTTTTCTGAATATACAAAGTTTGAACTAACGTGATCCTAAAATATGCCCAGACTTATCTCTATAGGTTTCCATTTAACAAGCTCTTTAATGAATGAGGGAAAATGTTTACTGCTGGTCTGGAACAGAACACCTAGTAATTGTCAAGAAATTATTTATATGAAAGATATATCATATCACAGAAGATGAAAAAATTAGGGTGATAGGGAAGGAATACTTAAAGACAACAACAGCTTAAATGAGATTTTGATGTAAAATAAATGTAATGTATGTATACTGTATGCATAGCAGTTTTACTATTTTGGTCTGGTTTCAAAAGACAACGTAACACATGGTCTGTAACCTCCGTGGCTTTTCTGAGGGAATAAAAACAGATATAGATCTGTTCTGGGACACATTGATCAGAAAGAGAAACAGCTGCTGAGTCAAATTATAAAATTTTGTAGCTACTTAGTGTGGCATGATATTTTTATAAGACAAGATACCCTTAATTGCAGTACTGCTTAAAACAACCATGGGGCTACTCATACTCAATGGAGCTACTCTAACCTTAATCTAGATAAATGAAAATTGTAGGGATCTCCTCTGTTCTGATAATTTGTCAATAAAATGTTAGAACAGGAAACAACTATTTAACCCATTAAATTATACCATTCACTCACACTTACTTCACCAAGTAACTGAACACTGACTTTGAAGAAAGCTAATTCAGAACTTTTAAACACACCTTGGGTACAGGAAAAAGACCGAAGAGGGTTGTAATCCCAGTCCTCAAAGGATGCAACCGAGTTAGTAAGGCTCATTGTGGGCTTCAGAGAGCTAAATGAGAGGAAAGTACCAGGCCTATTTCCCATGTTAGGAGCAAAGCTCATTGTCAATGCAATATAGGGAAACTTTCACCATTACGTAAGCAACACTTATTGTGACTAAAGACTTCATTGTCCAACACTATCAATCGTGCACTTTTCCACTATTGCTAAACTCACTGAAAGTTAGGAAGCTAAAATGCTTAACATTGATAAACACCAAAAGTATCATTTCTGAGAAGTAAAAGTTTGATATTAACAATACTGAAGTTTTACCTCTAAGTATACAGTAAACTTTTATTAGCCTCCTGCATGGACTTGTATAATACAGTGTTCCACTGAATAATCCTAAATTAAGGTATTCCAATGAAGACTGGTTTAAATTAACTCAAACAAAAGATGCCTTAAGCCAGTATTAACAACCGTCACTTTTCATTAAGTTAGTGTGATTGATTTTGGAGATCAAAACGTGTTTCACTCTTACAACTAAACCATAAAAGGACATTAATAGCATCCTCTGAAGAAAGCCAAATTTCACTGAAGAAACATCTGTGAGAAGCTGGAAAAATCAACATATAATCTGTGACATTGCAAATTTGACAGGAAAAATCTCAGGGTCTTTAGAGAACACCACAAAACAATACAGATAAGACTCTTTAATAGCAGCTTTGTGAGATTATCTAAAACAATCACTGGTGTCTTGAGTAAGACTTATTTGTTACAAGAGGTAGTCTAATATTTGTGTTTAAACTGACCATAGAAGTCTTTGAGCCATTCACTTGTTATTGCTATAAATGGCTCTGATTTGAAAGATTAAGACTACCAATATCCAAATATTTTACTCGCAAAATTAACTTTTTTATTGATATAGGTGATAAAAACCAATATCAGCTTAGTAGTTACATGCTGAACTGTTCAATATGCGGAGACTTCACAATCCATGATCCATAGCCATACTGCTCTAGGTAGCTTTTCAGCAAATGTTTAGCTTCCTGGTAGAGTGTTGACTTAATCTAAAGAGAAACAAAAGTTAAAAAAAATGTTACAGATGGCCACAAGATTTGCCCTTTTTAATATATTGTGCCACTAGGGCATTCCATAGCAAAACTTGATTTTGAAAGATGCCTGTGACGCCAGTGTTCATTGAATGCGAAACAAGAAATGCAGCAGATTGGGCAAAGGGAAAAACAGGATTTGACAGATTATAAGAAACAGGGTATGCTTTTATGTACTGGAAAAGGAAATTTTTTTTTGGTAAAATCAATTTCATGTTTATCAACATCAGTTTAATTACTCATTCTCTAAACCAGTCTAATGTTTAGCTACGTATCGCATGAATCTAAAAACAGGTAAAATTACAGCTGTAGCTTTGACACCATTGAAAAAGTTTAGTATATCATCTGAAGGGTTAAAATCCATGTGCATGTTATATAACAACCTGGTATATGAATTATGCCAGCTCTTTTCCAGACCCAAAGTCCAGAGTTTAGTCTGGAGACCGGAGGCCTAGCTAATAGTGATCAGCTACGAGAAAGCTGGGGTAAACAAAATAACATTGCCTTTGCTAAGATCTGCTTGGTCAGTAGAAATGCTAGATGTTGAAGCAATAACTGAATAATTATGTTTCATCCAATGTTTCAAATTGAACAAAGAATTCCTGTGTTTCTCCTGAAGGGAAAACAATCTTCCCACAGATCCAACCTTGAGTTTATGAAATATTGGCACATGTCACTATAATAATATGGCATCCTTCCACCTCCCTTCCAAGAGACCAATGCCCTGCCTTAAGACAAAGGAAACAATCTCTATTTTCATATGCTTTCACTGTTTCTTTGCTTTACCCCTAGACATGTACCTGTCGGACAATCAAAGGAGTTACTCCGTTCCTATGGACCCCAAATCAGAATTCAACATATATATTTTATACTAATGACATTTTATCAAAGTATTAATCAAATGTTAACTTGCTAACTTGAGACCATGGGCAGAGACATTGTGTAACCTTTTAACCATTGGCTATTGTGCTATCTTGTCTTGCTGCAAAACCTATCCCGGGGTGTGGAACTGCCTACCCCGTTCACCTTCCCCCGCCCATGGAAAATCTATATATTTCATTGTAATCAATTGATTGACAGTGTCTCTGAGCCTAATAAGCCAGGTGACACTCCGCCAGCGCTGTGTATAATAAACCCCTATGCTTTGACCTCTACACGGTGTGGATTTATGTCCTTAATCATCTAAATTAACAATTATTATAGAAATAAAGTGTAGCCAATGCTGACAAAAGTGGTCATAACATATGTTAGAAAAGCAAATTCTATGTGCACCTTCACGGAAAAAAGAGAAAATATGTATCTTGTCTCAGTAAAAAAATAGAAAGGACTAAGGTACAAAAATGGTTCAATGCCTGGAGGGCATAAACCTAACCGTATGAAATGAGATTAGATATTCTGCTTCTCAGCATGTCTATGAATGAGCTAGCTTTCCCCAGCAACTTTACAGCAGGATAGGAATTTAATGTCAATATGCTCCTCATTACAAGCAGTCTATTTCATAGGGAGGAGGGGAAGACAGTTACCTTAGCATCATGGTTCCAAAATAATACAGCTAGTAAGAACAGCATTCTTTCTTCAATTAGTGCTCCCTCAGCGTTCTCAGCCCAAGGAACATAAGATCATACTCAGTCCCAAATTCTGATGTTGAATTATCACCTTCTCCCCCACTTCTGTTGATATCCCTTTCCCACCAGAGTATTCCCTGGGAGAACAGGGCCTGTACTTACAAAAAATAAGCGTCTCTCTAGTGCTAAGAGTGGAACAAAAGTCTGCAGAACTTTCCAATGTCAATATCAAGCTAGCCATTGTGAGGAAATGGTTGGCAGCCATTTGTGGATGGAGATCAAATGTGAAAGTTTCAACCCAAAAGATATTTCTCAATTTGTAACCTTAAGGAACAGTTTTGTATGGACTTCCTAACATTAACCTGAACAATAATTCAAGTTCCAGCAACTATCAAGGCAATTTTGTAAGTCCTGCAGAATTTCAGTATAACTAATAGTTCCTGGATTTCTGTTATGGGGTGTATTAGGCCTCGTGGTCCTACCGCACTCCGCCACAGAAGCAGCCAATCAGAAAATAACAAGCTCAGTTAAAAGAGCTGAGCAGATCAGTTCCTCGCTGGGACCAGAAGGGATAAGACAGAAATATTCTCCAGGCAAGGAGGCCTGGAGGAGACCCTGCACAAACAGGGAACAAGACAAATAGAAGCCAAGGACTGTAACCTAAGGTAACAGGACTGAGTGGGAAGCAGTCAAGGAACAGCAGCAGCAACCAGGTGAGGAAGCAGTACATGGTTGCTGTCTATAGGGTTCCTGGGTTGGGACCCAGAGAAATTAGCAGGTCCAGGTCCCCCCCACCAGCCACTGGAGCCATGGCCTAAACCCCAGGGAACAGAAAATACTCTGGATTAAAAAGCCCAAGAAAGGGACTGGAAGTTATAAACAGGCCTTGGGATGGGGCTGAAGACCATGAAGAGGGCCAACCATTCATTAAACCTTTGTTACCCCGGAAGGGGACTCCAGTTAGGAAGTGACTTAGGTTAAGAGCTGGGAAACCACAGAATGGCTAAAGACAGTCTCTAGGGAGAAAGCCCTGGGGGCAGTGCTCTACAACAAGGCAGGGACAGATAAAGCTAGCCCAGAAGGGGTGAAATTTGAGCCCAGAGACAGGACTGCAGATAGTGACAAGGGCACAGTGATTGGCCCTGTTGGACCTTTGTTACCCCGGAAGGGATTCCTTCATGCATGTTGACTGTGTGTGACTTGACCGGAGGGCTGGGCCACTGAAGACCCATCTGACGTAGTTAACAGCTGGCAGGAGGCACCAGGAGCAGAGAGTGTGCAGGTTTGCACACGACTGATAGGAGGCACTTACGAGGAGTGAGTGAAGTTGTGATAGGGGCCACTTGCAAATAATCAGTTTGCAAGCCTTTGAGACAAAGGTCATTACTGCTGTAAGAAATGCTCAACCATTCACATAACATCTCCAGCATACTAGAAATCTTTCTTTGCCAGCTATCTGCACCTTGAAAGCAACCATTAAAACGGCATTTACTGTTTTTCCTTTAACTAGTCTTACCTTTGCTTCATGATATGTACTAGCTTCAAGCAAATCGCTTCTTTTCGCTTCCTTAGAAACCAGTTTGAAACGATTTAACATTGCAGCCTTGCAAAGACGGCTTGCCATTGAAGTGCCACTTTTGAATGGTGAACTAAAGTTGAGGGGGGAAAAGCAATGAGACAAATTAAGAAATTTGTTATTCAATTCAGTTTCTATTTGCTCCAGCTACCACATTTGAAATTAAGATTATCTGTTTCAAACTACATAAGTGATATGTTCTCCACTTATAGCAGAAATGAACAAAGATAATGGAATTAAGAAGTATAAACCTCCATAATTACAGCTATTGGAAGGTTGGCAAAATCTTTTCAATCCTGTAGTTTACCAGATCAGAGATACCACTGGTTTTAGTCAAACTATTGCGTATACTCAGCCTCTTCAAGGTTGTACTGCTGATGGGAGATAAAGGAGAGAAAAGAGTCTTAATTTCAATAAAGGAGGACTACTTAATTTCATATGTTGGTGCTTCACTGATAATCTTGCTTCTTAAACTGTGTCAAATTGTAGGAAGGATGCGTTTAGTTTAGACTAATAGATTCTAAAGCAAGAAGGGACTACTATGATCATCTAATCTAGTCTTAACTCCAGCATAACATAGGTTATAGGAGTTAATTCATGTTTGAACTAGACTAGAGCATATTTTTTAGATAATCATCCACACAACAAACATTTTCAGTGATGGAGAATCCACCACAACCCTTGTACTGGAGCAAAAGCTTTCATGGATGAATACCCACTTCGTCAGACGCATGGGTCTACTGATGAAGTGGGTATCCACCCACAAAAGCTTATGCTCCAATATGTCTGTTAGTCTATAAATTGCCACAGGACTCTGTCGCTTTTTACAGATCCAAACTAACATGGCTACCCCTCTGATACTCCACAACCATTGGTAAATTGTCCCAATGATTAACTACCCTTCATGTTATAAATTGTGTCCCGTTTCCAGTTTGAATTAGCATGGCTTCAAGTTCCAGCCACTGGATCTTGTTATACCTTTTGTCTTTGGCAATCCCGCGGGCCAGATCCAAAGCCCTGATGGGACGGATCCGACCCACGGGCCGTAGTTTGCCCACCCCTGTCATAGATAAAGGGAGAAGGAAGAAGGTTGCCCCTGGTTCAAATGGAAGTCTCATGGCAATACCAGGTTGGGGTCTTTAATCTGGGGCAGACATTTCCCCAAACCCTTAATAAACTCAGGACAACACCAGCTGAGCAAATATGGAGAACCCTCCTATTGGGGGATGAAAAGTTGATACTGCAGCCAAATGGACCTCAACTGAGCTAACAGCCTAATTGTTTTATATCCACAGGTAATTCAGGAAAACAGAATTGCACAGATTCAGGCACAAGATGGAGGCGACACCACCAATGGAAGAAACTCACAGAATAGCAGAGAAATATGCGTTAACGCCCTTATAGTGCTGAGTAATACCTGTTGCACTTCCACAGAGCAGGAGGATTCTAATCCAGTGACCCACCAAGGAAACATATCCTGAGGCAGAGAACCTCTAGGTTGGGGTGAAACGCACAATCCCCATCCTGGGAGATGAGAGAAGGGATGATCGGAAGCTTGAACGGCAGTTCAGTAGAAACCTGAAACAGATAAAGCTCCCAAACCTGTTTCAGCCAGGTTGGTACTATAAGGATAGCTCTGGCTTTACCCTTCCTGATCTTGCTCATCGCCCTTAGTGGTGTTGGAAGAAACCCATATAGCAGACTCTTCTTCCAAGATACAAGAAAGAGTGGTGGCTCAGATCCCATCTTGAGCAAAATAAAGGATGGTTCTTGTTCCTGGAGATGGTGAAGAGATCCACTTCTGGCAGTCTCCATCTTCGGAATGTACTATGGAGAATTTGAGAGTCTAGCTCCCATTAATAGTCCTGGCAGAAGCATCTGCTGAGAATAATTCACTGTGGCGTTCCGAACACATGGGAGGTAGGACAACAGAAATTTGGATCTGATGAACTACACACTTCTTCACATTTCATTTTGTTTGTCCCTGCTTGTTGACACAGAACATGCAGTGCATGTTATCCATCAGAACCCTGATTTACTTACCTTGATGAAGGGTAGGAAATGAAAGTAGGCATTCCTGAGTGCCCTGAGTTCCAACAGATTGTTGTGGAAACTGGCTTCTTGAGGTGTCCATCTGCTCTGAGTCATGAGGGCACTGAAGTGAGCTCCCCATCCCATGATGCATCTGATGTCATAGTTACTGATCGGGCTGGGTGACAGAAAGGAATGCCTGCACAGACATTGAGTGGATCTTTTCCCCAGTCTAGGGAGTTCTTTACTTGGAGAGAAATTGTCTCATGCCTGCCCAAAGTGCCTCTGGCTAGCAAACAGGTTGTTTTGAGCCAATCCTAGAAGCAGCAGAAGCATACCTTTTCATGATTGGTCACAAAAGTACAAACTGCTAGAGGCTCCAGTTGCAGTTTTAATCAGGTTTGAGAACCAAGGTCTCCTCGGTAAATGAGCTACCAGTATTACCATCACCTGTTCTTATTTTATTTTCTGGACCACCTTCCTCAGTAACGAAGAGTGGAAACTTGTAAAATAGGCCCTGTGGCAAGAAGGCATCTGCTCCCGTAGTTCTGGGGTCTGCCTCCTTTATGAAGTAATTGTCTCTTTGCGTTCGTATGATTTGTGAAGGATGGATGAAGTGAGGCCGAACATCTGAACAATGAGACTGAAAACCTCCTAAATCAGGCACCTCTTGGAGTTGCTGTCTCTGTCTTCCTTTTGGTTCAGGTCCCCTTTGATGTGGAAAGGAGGAACTGTTCTGCCTACTTCATTATTTTCATTGCTTCCATATGTAGTGTCAGACTCCTAGTCCCCTCTTGGTTTATATATGTGTCCAGTGTCATATTGTCTGATTGAACCAGCCCGTGGTTTCCCCCTAAGGTGGGCTGGAGCCTTTGCAGATTTAGCTTGACCACTCTGAGATTTATGAGATTTATGCTGTGAGTCTTTTCCTCCCTGCTCAAGAAGCCCTGGATGTTTGGGTCTCCAAGTGAGCTCTCCAGCCCTCCATGCTGACATTGGTTGCAAAGGTCTGGAAGGCTGATGGGAACAGCTTTAAAAGACGTTATCATGGGCTGATCACAACTGTTAGGAGTTGAAGACCTCCGTTGGAACCAGTGTTCCTTCTAATTTTTACCACTCATGTGCGGAATGAATTTTGTTAGGTGCACCAATACGGATGTGATCATATTGGTGCACATAACAAAATTCATGTGGTGGAGCTGGGGCCGAGGGGTTTGGCGTATGGGAGGGGGCTCAGGGCTCTGGCAGAGGGTTGCAGTGCAGGGGCGCAAGGGCGCAGGCTGGGGGTGCAGGCTCTGGGTTGGTACCAGGGATGAGGGGCTCACGGCTGGGGTAGAGGTGCAGGGGTGTGAGGACTCCAGCTGGGAGTGTGGGCTCTGGGGTGGAGACGGGGATGAGGGGCTTAGGGCTGGGGCAGAAGTTTGAGATGAGGGGGAGGGTTCTGGCAGGGGGTGCAGGCTGATGGTCTGGGGGTAAGGAAGAGAGAGAGAGAGAAAGAACTCCGCCCAGCTCTCCCCACAGCAGCAGAACCTGGGAAAGAGCGCCCCAGGGCTGGGTTCAGGAAGGGGCACTGGGGCTGGATTTAGGGTGAGGCCGCCCAGGTTCGGGGCCGGGCCATGCCACCCTGGCTGGATTCGGGCTGGGGTAGGGGTGCTGCAGCAGGTCTGGGCTGAGGCACAGTTGGGACTGGGGGGCTGCGCCGGCTGTGGCAGGTTGGGGGCCTGGCTAGGTTGGGGCTGGGGGAGGGGCACCCCCACCCCAGCTGCTCCAAGCCCCCGGGAGGGTTCCCTGAGCACAGGTGCTAAATAGGGTGCCACATGGCCATGCAGCTTACAGGGAACTTAGGTTGGAACCTGTACTTGATCTTGCATGTTTTCCAGAGAGGGGTCCTACAACTTGAGTATGAAAGTTTGAAGACTTCTGAGGCGTCACTGTTCCCAAGGAGTGATTCCCTATGCACGACACCAGAAGTGCGAATAGTTGGAGGCATAGTGCTACGGTAAGCCTCCTGCAGTTCTGGAGCAAGAAAATAAATTCCTGGATGGAACCAGAGGACTTTCCTTGGCATTGATGAAGATCTGTGCCTGAAGAAAATTCAAAGTCCAAGATGTGACCATTTCCACAGTTGACCGCAATGGAGCTCTGATCAGGATGTCATCCAGGAAGGGGAACAGGTGAGTCCTGCAATCTGAGCATGGCAATTATCACTGCCACCATCTTTGCTGAGGACAGTCCAAAAGGGAGTGTTCAGTATTGATGTTTCCTGCTGTAGTCAAACCTCAGAAGCCTGTGATGGCACAGTCTCTTGGGGACATGGATACATGCATCCGTTAGATCTACTGAAGTCAAGAAGTCCCATGTTCCCACCCCAAGACAGGGATAAGAACATAAGAATGGCAGTACCGGGTCAGACCAAAGGTCCATCTAACCCAGTATCCTGTCTACCGACAGTGGCCAATGCCAGGTGCCCCAGAGGGAGTGGACTTAACAGGCAATGATCAAGTGATTTCTCTCCTGCCATCCATCTCCACCCTCTGACAAACAGAGGCTAGGGACACCATTCCTTACCCATCCTGGCTAATAGCCATTAATGGACTTAACCACCATGAATTTATCCAGTTCTCTTTTAAACACTGTTATAGTCCTAGCCTTCACAACCTCCTCAGGTAAGAAGTTCCACAGGTTGACTGCGCTGCGTGAAGAACTTCCTTGTATTTGTTTTAAACCTGCTGCCTATTAATTTCATTTGCTGACCCCTAGTTCTTGTATTATGGGAATAAGTAAATAACTTTTCTTTATCCACTTTCTCCACATCACTCATGATTTTATATACCTCTATCATA